GTACAACAGTTTTAGTGACAAAATACTCAACAAGACCATCTTCCACTGCTTTTTGAAGATACTTTTGATCTGTTGTATAGTGTTAAGTAAAATCAGAATTAATTATCATGTGTACATACCGATTTCCTCAAAGGTAGTGTTTGTAGATGCTTTGTCTCTAACATTGTCATTATAGTAAATCTTACAAAATCCATCCCACTCACTAGATGAGTCTTCTGAAAACATTCTCTTTGACTGGTTGGTTATCTCATTAGCCTTTATATTAAGTTGTGGAGGGGGAGGGGGGATAGTGAACACACCTATCATAAAAATAAAATATAATTATAATATCACATACTGTATAAATGGGATATTGAAAAACTGTGCATGATTAAAAAAATTTTTTAAATAATTGAATTAAAAGTTAAAATTAAAAAATCTTCCATCCTTACCAGTTGGTGTAGCTAATGGATAAGGTTGCGTGAAAGGCAACACAGCAAGCATCCCTTGACTAGCAGCAAGAGCTTGTTGAGAGTTAGCGATGGGTGCCTCGCTCTGTTGCTGCTGCTGTTGTTGTTGCTGATATTGTTGTTGCTGATACTGTTGTTGGGCCATAGCAGCAGCTGTCATCTGCTGCTAAGCCAGTAACTGCATCTGAAACGCAGCCTCATTTGACTCAGGAACACCCATTGCTGATAACTGACCAGCTCTTGCTACAGTTGCCTGCCATGTCAGGAAATCCTGAGGACTTTGAAAAGTGAGACCAGCTCCACCCGAGTTCTTGAGAGCTTCCAGTTGCAAGAGGTTTAGTTTCATGAATTCCTCGCTGGTTGTCGGGGCTCTGCCTGCTGTTTGTATGCGCGTGGCTGCAATTTCGCTACGTTTGGCTACAGAAAGAGAAAAGGAAGAGTTAAAATGTGGCGTTGTATTGGTAGTGAATTTTTAATACTAAAAGTATAAATTAATAATAAAAATATGTTTGTATTAACAGAAGCTGATAATAATGATAAATACACCTAAACATTTACAATATACATAATAATAATAATAATAATAATAATAATAATAATAATTGATGATGATGATGATGATGATAATAATAATAGTAAATGACCACAGCTACACTATAATACTAATAGGAAGAGTATTATTGTAAAAGTTAATGATGTTAGAACAGCCACACTAGTAGCCTGTGACTGATTGGTGATCTCATTAGCAGACAAAACGGCTATAGGAGGGATTCAATTACAAACAAGTGTACAATCAATGAGAGGATAGAGGGAATTAGTGCAGTGTGTGTGTAACTACAAAGTTAATGTAACGCGCCCGAGCTAGATTTCTCTCTTTACAGTGAAAAATTCTCTTTAAACAAAAGACTCTCTCTCAATCACTCGCTCTACCTTAAATAACAAAACTAAAAAGACTAATCAGTGACATACATTTACACATAACTTCACATTAACACATAAAACAGCCCTAGAATGTCTACACATACAATATAATTGTCTAGTCAGATCAATGGTCAGATTGATCTTCTTCGTTAGCACTCCACATTCCTCCCTTCTTCTCCTGGCACGAAGTGCTTCTCTCCATTCTTGATAATGCATCTGCATTTGCATTAGC